GGAAGCTGGCGATTATTCTGGTAAAGCCCATTACAAGACAAACATCTTATGAATACCAAAACTCTAACGCGCTTTACACACACGAGCGCCAACTCCCCAGCACCTTCCTCTATCTTTATTCACTTTCTATTTCTTGTAAACCTTTTTGCCATGGAGGAAGCTGGGAGAGCTAAAATAAAATGACTGATATCAAAGGTTACTTACCTGAGATTAGAGGAGAGGCTTTACAAGTCTTGTGGTGCTGACTCTGTTGAGTGCCGATGGTACTTTAACTACGTCAGCACTGCCAGGTGGGCAATCAATCTGCTATTGCTCAAGGAACCCCTAGAAAAATTTTAAGGAACCCCAGTCCTATGTGGGCTGCTCTCTTTTCCCAAGGATCAGCTGTTTGCAACAATACTCCCTGTCCCTGAATCCACGCAATACCTGGTCAGTAGTCTTGAGGTCAGGGGCTCGCCCACTAGTCATTGTTGGTTACACGGAATGGTATGCACACAAGTTGCACAGCCAGTGGACAATCCAAGGAATGGTGCACAATCGACCCGAACCCACCCAGTAATATCCTTTATTATACAGGTCAAAAGTCTAATTTCTTTAGACTTTAAAATGAAATTCATACAGTGGTTATATTTCTGACTGTTCAAAAATTGGTCAGGAGCTTCTGAAACTCCGACATATCAAAGGTGGCTGCAGAAGCAATCTCAAAAATGGCATCACCAAGAGAATCATACGCCGAGTGATGCGCTAGTTCATCCAGAAGTGACATCCCACCACCAGGACTCCCATCGGCCTGGAGAGAGTCCACTGTGCACAGGGCAGAGGATACCGTGAGAATGGGCACAGGCTGCTTTAAAGGTACATATCTATTATTGGGGGGGGAGAGATATTACATCACACCGAAGAATAAGGGTGGGAAAGGGGAGTAAGACTTATTAAATATTTGCTATGCTGCCTCTGTAGAGTTCAGCTTTCATCCAACTGTTATGTAACTTTGGCATTGTGTATGAGGGAATTCCGCAGGTCGCTGCCTTAGGAACTGAAGCATTGTAGAAGTAAACGCAGAATGCTAATAAACCTAACAATTTAACTAAATTGTTCCTTAATCTAATTACCTGCATATCCAGGAAAACAATCTCATCAGGCAGGAATTCAATAAACAGATGGTTCTGTGATAAATACATGTATGAGGCCTGCACGAGCATAACATGCAAATTCAGCATTACCTTTAAAGAAAACGTAGCAGAACAATGACACACACAACGTACTTGTAACTAACCGTGTTCTATTTTTTGGGGGGGCTTTTCAGATTGACAATGGCTTTGCAAGCTAACTGTGCCAAACACGTTCTTGCCATCTCGTAAGTAGTGGTGGCAGTGAGCATCAGCTAGACTCCATAATTGCTGCCCTGTTTAAATGCCCCTACAGGCATCAATTATGGACAAAGACAAAGCCAGTCCTGACACTACCATATTTTGAAGGGAGGAAATGCTCAGTGGTCCATCCATGCTGCTTACAAGACCAAATGCTGGAGTGCTGGCCACGATTACCTGGCTCAGCCTCCTAAGAGCCAGGCAGAGATCACATGACCTCTATTTAAGATGATGCATATCTAGTCAAGTTGGAAAAAGACCATTGAGTTCAGCCAATAAATAAAAAAGGGGAAGCACAGAATGGCTTTGTCTTAAAAAAATTCAAGTGGACTGGTCATTGAAAAGCCATTCTTGAACTCCAATTCAATGACTTTGCCTAGGCAGAGATGATATCATCAATCTGGTACAGGCAGAGGAAAGCATTTCCCCAGTCTCCTCTCCCCCCCCCCTGTGATCAGTCTGCTGCATTGTAAAAAGATCTGTGTCAGGCATTTGTGAACACAGTCAAGAACTGCACAGGCAGGGGTGTCCCGAGGCCGGGTGTCACCCGGAGCAGATACCGGGTGACACCCCGCCGTGACGTTGTCGCGCATGCGTGGTTAACTTTTTTATACTTGCTGGTGGCCATCTTAGAGAGAGAGGAGGTGATGTTCACTCAGCGGGACAAGGTATGCCGCCGGGTCCCCTCCTCTCTCCTGCAGCTGTCATGACCGAGTGTCTGACTTTTCAGAGGGGGGTGACACCAAAATTACTAAGTCATTTTGGTGTCACCCCTCCAATGGTGTCACCTGGGTATGGGCCGCACCCCCCTTGTGACGCCACTGTGCACAGGCACCAGAATTGTGTCGTCTCTGAGCCAGAATCTACATCCAGGAAGTGCATGGTGACCTTGTATGATGCCTGAACAAAGATGGATCCCCCCTTCTGGAAATAAAAGTAGATGAAAGCATTGTCAGGGGTAGTGCTGTGATCTCTGTGAGGGTCTCATACACCTGAAAGTGTTACACTGACACATTGCTTAGCATGCTGCCCTTTAGATGAGAAAATAGCTGATGCTAGGTCCCCTTTAAGAAGTCAGCGGATGACCTAAACCCACCAGACCCCACTCATATCAATTTTTGGTGGAATGGCCGTTTAAGGAAAACAAACATATATTGGAGTAGTAGAAACATATACAGGATGTAGAATATTTTGGTGAACCTCCAAGCAATAAATGAATGAAGACAAATTCAGTACAGCCCTGGTCCTGAGGACAAGAACAGATAAGAATCTGAAGGCTGTGCCAAATAAAATAAAACAGAAATCGCATCAAGGTAATTATGAAAGGCGCAGCAGCGGTGAGCAGGAAGCTCACAGAACCGGGATGAGGTCAAATATAAAATGAGGAGAGTCTACTACTCATTGAACTCTGATCACCCCGTACGTTGTCGGCCGCGTACAGCAGGGAGTGTGAATCAAAGGTTGAAGGGACACTCCGCTCAGTCGTGCCAATTCTGCCCTAAGAGGACATAGCCTGCAGGCTGAGAGGCTCCAACTGCCCTGCCTTCAATCCTCTGCTCCAGGTTGTTTCCGTTTCCCATAGTTACTTATATAAATGGCCCTGTATAGAGTCAGAGTAAATGCCATCACTCCATTCAAATGCGGTATTCCTCAACTTTTGTTTCCTGGCTCCTGTCCATCTTGCGGTCTCTGTGTTTCTACATCTCATGTTGTGTTTCTATCTATAATATCAGCAGGAAGCAAGCAGAGTGCCGGGTGCAAAGATATGTCTGCATTAAAATATGAAAAGGTTCATAAACTTTCATAAAGAATAATAAAATTGCACTCACAAGGAGACAGAAGTGGCTGCGCCCATCATAAGCCTGCAGAGAACTGGGGCCCTCCGTGGCTGTGAGTGAGGAGAGGACTCCATTCTGGATGTCTATAGGATGTAATGCGGCAGACAAGAGCGGCAAGGGGCCAAGGGGAAAGAGCACCCGAAACGCAATGCCATGTTACCCTACAACCCAGAAGTTAGGCTTGCTCTGAGCTGACAGGATGCTGATGCTCTTCAGCATTTGGCCCATTTGCCACATTACATTCAGTAGAGATCCAGGACGGATTCTTCTTAATTCAAACGATGGCCCAATCAACATTAAAGAGCACAGATGGCCGAAACTCCACTGCCACTATTGTATTCTGACCGCTGGTGTTCATGGCAGTCCTTTTAGCTTCCAATGACCAATGTTGACCAGCCCTTGCAAGGGCAATCAGTCAATGACCGCTCTGGCAAATGAGAATCTCTTCCTTCTTCCAGGACGGCATCAGAGGAAGGCTCAGAAGAGAGAGTGAACAATGACCGCTCCTCATTGTGAGCATGATGTTGCTCTACAGCCTCTGGGATTGTGTAGTGAAGTTTCCAAGTGTCAGGACTGTTATATCTCCTGGCTTGGGCAGCGGGTGAGGGTCATCCTTGCCGCTAAGTGCACTGGATACCAGGAGGTTGTGAGTTAGTTCACCTTTTCATTGCTTATCAAAAGGTGAACTAACCCTTTAATGAAATCTCTTCAAGGCTGTAACAGACACCAGTCCTTTACCTGGGAACCTCCAGCAGACGGAATGATACATGTGACCAGATTAGCGACCAGATTTTCCAGGGAGACATTCAGATTGTCCACATAGACGGTGTAGATCAGCCCGAGGCAGGCCTGCAAACAAGAGAGAGGATATGACATCAATCATCATCATATGGTTTATTTAGCAGATCAAATGGAAGCAAATAAGAGAAGTTCATGGTTGGGGTTTACATAGACTATCATTTAATATCTACCCGGTGTTCAGTTTTAACTTCCTTTGATGCATTAACATTGTAACAGCTTGTAACATCTCTAACCCACATTTCTATAAAGATACAAGAAATCATTTTATATATCACTAGTAAAATTATTAAAGCTGAACTCCATTCGCAGGCAAAGGATATAAATCCACTTTGTGTACACCAAATGCCTGTGCTAACCCAGGCATTACCTTAAAAAAGTAGCAGTGACATCATCATTGTGCTGTACAGAGCCTGTGCAGGGAACAGAGCTGAGGGAGGGACCTAGCAGGCTCCACCCACTACAGGTTGCCTGTAGAAAACTACCGGACGGGACAAGACCAGTCACCCTGCACCCAGGAGAGAGAGCAGCAGTGAGCGGTCTTTATTACAGGAGGGGGGCGGAGACAAGACCAGTCACCCTGCACATGGAGAGAGCAGCAGTGAGCGGTCTTCATTACAGGAAGGAGCAGAGGCGAGACCAGTCACCCTGTACAAGGAGAGAGCAGCAGTGACCGGTTTTTATTACAGGAGGGGGCGGAGACAAGACCAGTCACCCTGCAGGAGAGAGAGCAGCAGTGAGTGGTTTTCCTTAGATGAAGCTTCACATTGGATTGCTGCACAGATCTGGAAGAAGCTCACCAAAATTCCAGTAAGAATATGCATAGTTCTTGTTTTTAGATCAGGGTAGACGAACGTCCGCCCTCCAGCTGTGGCAAAACTAGAAACCCCATCGTGCATCTGCCTCTTAGAGTCATGTCTGTGGTCATTAAGAGTCTTGCCATGCCTTTTGGGACTTGTGGTTCCACAGAAGCTGGAGGGCTGACGTTTGGCTACCCTTGATCTAGGCGATACTTGCTTATTCCAGAGCTCAGCTTTAAACAATGGAAACTATAGCCAAAATGAGGCAGATACCAGCCAGCCAATACTGGATGGCACATTGCTTTTTTTTAACTGGTTCAAGGGCTGCGAGTAGGAGGGGGGTGTATGTGTACCCCAAAAATACTTGTATGACATCTGCTGGGCGATCCCAAAATGCACCTGAACGCCTGTCAGTGAGAAATATCATAACACATGTGCCGAGCTAACATATGTCGAGCACCTGTTCCAAACCGCACACAGCCGTGTCCCTCTCCGAGCCAACGAGCGTGGAACGCCGCGGAGGAATCTGCAAACTTGTTCAGGGAAATGCTAAATAATATTAAAGTGCTCCATCTATTTGCTTACTCTTTGGTAAGTCAAAGGCGCAGATTAAGAACAGATGGTTGTTTTGCATGAACGCTGTGATAAAAAGTGACAGTAAAGAGAAAGACCAGATGTGAGGGAGTACAACGGAAAATTCACTATTGGTAAAATCATGTAATACAACGTATAGAATTGCGATAGGAGCCATTCTGTAATTTCATATTTTTCCATTCTATTTGATATCAAGATATGATCTCTCGCTGCCATAAATTCCCCACCTCGCAATCATTGTAACAGTTTTCAGCAGGCTGTCTCAGAATGCCCCTACTCCTGTAACAAGCTCGAGCTTGGAAACAGTTGGGAATGAGTAAGAACTTTGTTTGGGGGAGATATTTCTTCACTTCCTGTTGTAGCAAGAAGTAGGAGCAGATCCGTCTGAAGAGGGGATATCTCTTCCTAGATGGTTGTCACCAGAACAGGTGTCCCTATTGGAAGACTTGCCCTCATTTCCCTTTATGAGTTACAATTTAAAAATGTTTTGTGTGTATCGGCTTGGATGCAGCTGCTCGGCCATGGAAACCCATTCTATGAAGCTCTCTACGCACTGTTGTTGTGCCAATCTGAAGGCCACACCAAGTTTGGATGTCTGTAGCTATTGACTCTGCAGACAGTTGGCGACTTCTGCGCACTGTGCGCTTCACCATGCGCTGACCCTGCTCTGTCATTTGACGTGGCCTACCACTTCCTGGCTGAGTTGCTGTTGTTCCCAGTTGCTTCCACTTTGTTATAATCCCAGTAACAGGTGACCGTGGAATATTTAGTAGCAAGGAAATTACAAGGGACACCTGAATCCAATGATACTTTTGGCAATATAGTGTATATATACATACACAGCATATATCTCTATATATACACACAAATATAAACATAATATAAGTTTAACGTCAGGCAGTAAACTTTTTACGGAAGCTTTCAAAAACTATGACCTTGCTCCCGAACCGGTTCTTCACCATCAGCGACACATAAAAATAAAACAGAGGTATACAGTTTGCTTCCTGAATACAAAACAAAAATTTGTTGTCGAGAGATGAAAAGTCCGATTTTGGTAAGTGTCCCGAACTCACCCTGAAGATCTCAGGATAATCCAATCTGGAGACGAGCACCAAACATTTCGGAGCAAAAATCTGTGCGGGTTGAATCAAGCCAGAATCCTCGTCATCGCTGTGATCGTGCTTTGTTCCCTAGAAAAAGAAGAAAATAATAATATAACTATAAGTATATTTTAAACCCCTCAAGCCATAAAGAAAAGTGATTTATAGATAAGATTATAATTTAATAACCAAAATACAATTGTCTACTACAGTTTGCAATGGATAGGTTGCATTCTCAGTGATGTCACCGGTCTCTAGTGAATCGATAGGATACATTCTCAGTGATGTCACCGGTCTCTAGTGAATCGATAGGATACATTCTCAGTGATGTCATGGGTCTCTAGTGAATGGATAGGATACATTCTCAGTGATGTCACTGGTCTCTAGTGAATAGATAGGCTGCATTCTCAGTGATGTCACTGGTCTCTAGTGAATGGATAGGCTGCATTCTAAGTGATGTCACCGTTGTCTAGTGAATGGATAGGCTGCATTCTCAGTGATGTCACCAGTCTCTAGTGAATGGATAGGATACATTCTCTGTGATGTCACTGGTCTATAGTAGATGGCTAGGCTGCATTTGCATTGATGTCACTTGACTCCAGAAAACGGATAGGATGTGATATTGGTGACATTACATTCTTAGGGCAGTCAGAGGGCTATATTTTCATATTCATCTACACAAAATGACTGCTTCCCAAGGCATTAGATGACAGGTGCACTTTAAAATCGTGAAGACAGAAATGTACAGAATGTAAGTTTTCTGTTTCATCAATCTTAGAGGAAGGACAGAAATTGAACGCTACTGCCACAAACACAGCCCGGACGCCAGACAAGATCTGGTTAATAGTGACCCCCCTGCATATGAATACATATGTTATTGTAGGAAGATTTATTGATATTTAAAAGTCTGGAATGAGCCGGAAGATTTATCGGTGTCTGAGCTTGGAGCAGAACTAAAAGGCCTTTGTTGCCGCATGGCTGATTTGATCTCTTTGGTTCAGGACGCTGGCTGCCCTCTCCTGACAAGGAGGAATAATTCACATTTAATACGGCCATGTCGCCTCTTGTCAGGACAGTATGTTAGAAGTGGCAGGGAGACGTGTAATGTACCGGGAAGAGGGAGCAGACAGTGTTTTATCTGTTCCACACATTTACAGATCTGATCCATCATGTCCGCATACCCGGCTTGGGAAATAGATGAGACTTGTACTGTAAGAAAGAATGTCTGAGAAATCTGCAACTGGCCAAACTGGATTGGAGCACAGATGGTCCATTGGGGGGAGCAACCCATAACAGCCAATAAGGTATAAAGGACCAGCTCACCCAAAATGACTACAGTATTTAGTACAGTTGGAGCGTCATCGCTCGGACCACGCGGCGCGTATCCCAGGCAACGCCGGCGCTCTACAGTGACGTCACCCGCCGGATTCCGAGCCAGGACATAGCCCCTGCAAGGGCGAAGAGACACCGCAGCCCGCCGCGCGAGGCCCACACCTCTACACTGCCGCAGACTGACCTTACTCTCCATACCATCAGGTAAGAGCCCCCTTCTGCCAAGGTAGCCGGGACCCCTGGACTCCTCCAGCCTCCCCGTACCTCTCCAATGCTGCCCTGTCTTTGCCAGACAAAAGTCCACAACCCTGGGTCAGCATTCTCACCCCCAGCTTGCTACTGCTGTACACCAGGGGGGGCCACCATCTGGCGCCAGCTCACGTGCAGGAGGATGGTTGCCTTCCCTGAGTGATGGAAGGGAACCTTGGCCAAGAATCGGATGGGGGTCAGATAGGGAAGCCCTGCATGCGCCGCAGCAGGTAATCCTGGAGTAGGTCCCGACGCATAGCAGGGTAGGCTCAGCCCTAAGGCAAACAAACATGAGCCCTGAAAACAACAAACATTACGATGTCCCCGTGTAGCCGGCGGAAACACAAAAAAACTGACTTGGGATGGAAGGAGGAGTCTATTTATTTAATGTGGTTGGTGTGTTTCCTGTTGCAGGTAGGCGGAGCCTATATCTCGATGGCTGTCCTGGAAGATGACTGGGGAAAACATAACATTTCGGAACCTCGCAAGGTCCCTTCATCAAAGATGGAAGGACTGACGAAGAGACCATGCATTGTCCATGGTTCCAAAACTTTGCATTTTCACGCCATGCTGAAGGAATACCATTAAAGACGGTTAGCGGACAACACATCTACTATACTGTGGCGCCATCTATCAGCTGTTCCAGCACCTGATGAATTTGGGGGTACATCAGTACAGTGTGTGAAGGAGATATCGCTAAGATCTATATCAGCTGGCATGGGGACCCCTCCACCCAAGAGTAGGTGTCCATGAAAGCCTGGGCTGAGAGGATGTGAGCTGAAGGACACTTGGCATTATTCAACCCAGAAGAAGAGCAGCGCTTCAGCATGCAGGAGAATATAGAGGGCAGTGCAGGAGCATTGCAGCCTTTTAAGTTGTTTTGGAAGGAAAAGCAAAGAACAAAAGTGGAGATGCGTCTGCGGAGGCCCTCATTCAGTGTCTGTGAAGGTCCTCATTCAGTGTCTGCGGAGGCCCTCATTCAGTCTCTGTGAAGGTCCTCATTCAGTGTCTGCGGAGGTCCTCTCTGCGGAGGTCCTCATTTCGTCTCTGCGGAGGTCCTCATTTAGTGTTGCTATGCATCACCTGCACTCCATGCAGCGTATATACTGTAGATCATAGAGTACATGCAGTACTCTAAGTGATGACGCGGATGGCACCTTGTGTACTCAAGGATGTATGAGGAAGTCAAAAGCACTCATAAAATCTAAATGAATTTATTGTCACATGAGTCAAACATCTTGGGGCCATGAGGGGTCCCTTCCTCAGGGTGATATAGTGATAAATGAAAGCCATTTCCTGATGTCTTTGGATTTTGTGAGCACTGGTGACTTCCTCATACATCCTTGTTAAAGTTTTTCATCCGTGTCATGGTATATCTGTAAAAAATAAGTCAAGGCAACTGGACTTGTTGTATTTGTCTTGAAGATGTTCCGCTGGTCATCCGACCAGCTTTATGAATTCTGAATTGAGAAACCTAGTCGGATCACCAGCAAAATATTGTAATTTAAAATACAGAAAGTCCACTCGCCTTGATTTATTTTTTTACAGATATAAGTGGAGATGGCCTTGAAATCACCTAACCGTTACCTTCTTCTCTCATGGGGTCAGTGGTGGAAGTCTCCACCCTGGGGTTTGCAGGTATATACACCTGTCATTAGGGATGCACCGATACTGGTTTTTCGGTATTCAGTTCCAGTACTGACATTTATCGTACACGTCGATACCGCAAGTCCCATTAAGGTGTAATGACTCGCCACCCGGCTTCCCGATTAGCAGGGAAGCCGTCTCCATCCTCCTTCGTCACCAGGGGATGAGGGAGCATGAAGCAGGCTTTCTGGCCAATCAGAAAGCAGGGGGGCGTGTTATGACACGCTGCCCAGCTTCCCGATTGGCCGGGAAGCCACCTCCATGCTCCCTCGTCACAAGTGTCATTACACAGCTCCCAACTTCCTGATTGGCTGGGAAGCCGGCTCCGTGCTTTCATCTCCTTGTGACGAGGGAGCATGGAGCCGGCTTCCCGGCCAATCAGGAAGCAGTGCTGCGTGAAATCACTCGCTGCCTGGCTTCCTGATACCGGAAGCTTAAAGTATCGGGCCAGGCATCGGAGCATTTGGGTAAGTACGAGTACTCGCCAAATAAACCTGGCACTGATACTAGTATCAGTAATCGATGCATCCCTACCTGTCATGTCAATCCCACTCTCCCACCTCGACTTTACATTGTAGAGAATGTACATAAAGGAAAGGCAAGAGCAGATGTTGGGAACTACCTCCAGGAGATCTCCCCTGGTGTCCTAAGAGATGTAAAAGAAGCAGAACCTACAACTTGTACCTTCAAGAGTTTTTTTCTCGGTGGCCTACACCTTTAAGATCACAATGGTGGTAAACCACAAGCTGACCTCATCCTGTGAACATTTTATAAGCTCTCGAATCTCCTGCTATCTGAAGATCGCGGCCTGCCGGGGTCGGAGATAATATGGGTGTAATATATCTCTCGTCCTGTCTCATGACTGTGAAATATGTTACTCTGTGAGCACTACAAATCCTTGTAATGAGGGGGGACCTTTCACAGATAACACGGCAGATCCCCGTAATACATTATGGAAAGGATTCCAGGCCCAGGAGACAACAGAGGAGGTAAAAGAGTGAAATCAGATCCTTCATGTAACAGAAGACGGTGCGAGGGGCAAGCCTTGGCTCTGGTGGAATTCCCATGAGGTGTAACGCACCCTCTTCACTGCTACAACCGATAATGAATGGCAGATTCTCTTGCTCTGTGGTGGCCAATTAAATATTCACCTACATTTCTTCGAGTGTATAGAGGCCGAAGAACAACAATGTCACACACACTCACCGGCGAACTTTATCAGGTACACCTTGCTAGTATAGGGTTGGACCCATTTTGTCTTCAGAACTGCTTTCATTCTTCGTGGCATAGATTCAACAAGGTGATGGAAACATTCCTTAGAGAGTTTGGTCCATACTGACATGATGGCATCACACAGCTGCTGCAAATTTGTCAGCTGCACATCCATGATGCGAAGCTCCACCAGCCTGAACCGTTGATACAAGGCAGGATGGATCCATGCTTTCATGTTGTTTACATCAAATTCCGAGCCGACCATCAGAATGTCGCAACAGAAATCGAGACTCGTCAGACCAGGCAACTTTTTCCAATCTTCCATTGTCCAATTTTGGTGAGCCCTTGCAAATTGTAGCCTCCGTTTCCTGTTCTTAGCAGACAGAAGTGACACCCGGTGTGGTCTTCTGTGGCTGTAGCCCATCTGCTTCATGATTGGACATGTTGTGCATTCAGAGATGTTCTTCTGCATTCCTCGGATGTAACGAGAGGTTATTTGGAGTTACTGTTGCCTTTCTATCATCTCAAATCAGTCTGCCCATTCTCCTCTGACCTCTGACATCAACAAGGTGTTCTTGCCCAGAGAGCTGCCACTCACTGAATATTTTCTCTTTTTTTGGACCATTCTCTGTAAATTCTAGAGATGGTTG